GAGAGAGAGAGTTGTGACTTGAGACTTGACGACATTGGATCCAGACTCGACATTGGGATTCAGACATTTTGACAAGGGACTATTTGGGCCTGTGCCGAAGACTTGGTGTCGACGACATTCCCATCTTCCCCTCTTCTTCGTCTAACCCCCCTCTTCTTCGTCTGTGTATGGTTGGGGCTGGCGCATTCTTCCTATGTGAGCGCCAGACCCCTTCACACCATGGAGTGATGATGATGATGTATGTTCAGGGCTGCATTGCAATATTGATTGTTCGGATCATTCGTATCTATGTCTTCCGCTTTGTTATCTTGTACTTCATATGAGAGGTCGGTTCTTGTTATGGTCGGCACCGTTACAGTATGCAACAGTTTGGTATCGGAGCGGACCTCTCATTCAGAGGACCCGCTCAATCAAGTAGCCAGCTTGCTTGATCTATTGATTACTCATTAGTAAATCAAGTAGGACGTCGTCAAATCTCTGAAAAAAAAAATTATCGCAACAAATATCTGAAAATTTCTGATAATCGCATTTCGTTTTATCTGAAAATTCCTGATAGTGGCATTTCGTTTCTCTGATATTTGCGTACATAGCTGAAAATTTCTGACGTTAACATTTCGTTTTCTAGGCATATTAGGATAACGATAGAACTGGTCATATTCTCGGAAACCGGATTTATTCTTTTCTGAAAATCGAATCTCCATTCTATCTCGCAAATTTTTTTTGAAAACCGAAATCTTGCGAAGCCTACCAGCATTTCGTTAGGCATATTAGGAGGTTGCCATATTCTCAGAAACTGGATTTAGTTCTTTTCTGAAAATTGCATCTGTGAGGATTGAGCCCTCAAGAAGGGGCCTTGCCATGATGTACATGTTCTGGGCTAAGGCCCCAGCAAGCCTAGTGCCCGCCCTAAGTGAAGGCGGGCCAGCAAATCAACAAGAGCCCTCTGTGCAAACATTTCACGAAGTGGGGTCCATATAGTTGCAGCACGCCAGTTGGTTGGTGTGCAGCGAGTATCGGAGCTCTGCAAATGCAGAAATCCCAGGGCCCCGAGTTGGTTAGGCCCTGGGCACATAAACGTGAGGCCGACAATGCATGCTGGAGATAGAGGCCGAAAATGCCAAGGGGAAACCGGTCCACTATCTGAATCTGGCCGCAGGTCTTGATGAAAGAGGCGCAACTGCATCTCCTGGGCCCCCAACTGCATCGGGCCTGGGTACAGGTACTGGGGCCCAGGCACAGGCTCAAGGGAGGCCGCCCACACGCAACACTGGCATATAGGCAAGCAGGGCGAGTGGGCAGGGATCCTGGCCATTGCGGGCAATGCCGGCACGCTGCGCGTTTGCAAGCTGCTGAGCTGCGCTAGGCTGAGGGAAGCAGGCAGGCGCTAAGCGGTAGAGCGCTGCCTGGGCGCAGGGCGCTGGCGGCCATAGCCAGGCTGCCTGGGGGCGCAGAGGGAGGTGAGGGGCGATGGTGGTTCTTCGGAGGTGAAGGGCGCTGTGTGGGATAACAAGGGAGAGTGTGGGTGAAGAGAGAGACGTACCTGGTGGAGATGGGATATCGTCATTGGTGTTGACATCATCACTCGCTGGTCGTCAAGTTGTCTGGTTGCTTTCATACTGTAGTTGTAGTGTTAGGCTGTAGAGTAGGTAGGGCGCCTGGCGCCATTCAAGAGAGAGAGAGCTACATTGGGTTATGCTGTTGGTGTTGCCCTGTTGGGCTTGGACATTGACTCACGATTCTTCTGTATCGTTCTCAAATGGATGCTTACTCGGTTCCATTGTGCTATCTGCTCTTGCTTTGACTACTTGGACTTCAGTGTGATTTTGCAATCTGGATTTATGTGCTTCGTTTATATTCATGTTCCTTGCATTTTGGTATCGGACCTGGTTAGATTCGCCACTTACCTTGGTGCGCTGGCGTTACACAGACTTGGTGCGTTGACGATGCTTCTTCGCAGTTGGTTCTTGTGACGTCAGGCTATACTAGGCGCACGACCTGGGTAGAGAGGTGTGCGTCGGAAGGCTAAGACGACATTGATTGTCGTGGTGACAGGCGGAATGTATGATTGGTGATGAGAGCGTGCTGATGTGGCATTCGGCTGAGGTGGCACTGCATTGCGTTGTGGGTGGTACCGAGGCCAAGACCGGTCATCAAATGCACACTCAGCTCAATTGGTGAGAAATCTGTGGTTGGGGGCAGCTATCTCCAGGTRCGTTGTTCCCTTACCTTATCTACTCTCTCAATCTCTTCTTACCGCGAGGAAGTGAGTCCAACTTGAGAGTCCTCTCTTTTGGTGAGGTGTCGTGAGCGCGCTACCTTGAGAGACGACAATCTTCCCGGAAGCATCTGGAAGGAGAAAGGGCGGTGCCTCTGAAGGGCCCTGGTTGAAGCACTGGGTCACGGTCACCATGCCAACCTAATGGGAGTAGGTCACGCATGCGATGGCTGTTGTCCATTTTGGCACTTTGCTGCGCTGATAGAAGTCCTGCCGGGTGTGCCAGCCCATATGAGACGCTTACCGGACCGTCTATAAACATTTTTGGTTGGGGACTCAGTGTTGATTCTGGCTGTGATCGTCGTTCTGTCTGCGACGTTAAATAATACCTGCGGAGATGGGGGCTCTCCTTAAATTCCTCCTGATCAACCAGATCACATTGGGCAGTAAGGCTCGTTCCGTACGAGGGTAAATAAGAGTGGACGGGCTGGCTTGCTCGGCAATGACTTGGGCACAGGGGTGGGCCGACATTGAACACAATGACACCGCTGCTCAATGATGCTTACCGGTATGTTGGATTGAGGGGAAGGGTAGGTTCTAATTGATGCTCAACTAGAAACACAACCATACCCACTATTCATACATCTGCAACTTGGCCTTCTTTTATTCTTGATTAGTTGGTGGACAGACTGCTAACACCTCACAGACAGATTAGAGTAGGACTGTTGTATACTACCATAGCCAGTTCTATCTAATGTTGCTGTAAGTGAACAAATCAAGATACATCTAGACTATGTTGACAGTCTGTTGTGAATGTTGTAGGCTGCCACTTGATCGGTAAAGTAGGGGACCTGCCGGACACAACTATTTTTAGAAAATTAGGTGTCGGTCAGACACATGCTGTGGTAGGACTCCACTAGGGGGTTCTAGTGCAGATAATGTTTGCCTAATTGATGAACGGGTCAGACATCGATGAGGGAACAGTTGACGATGCAAGACTGACACGTTCGAGATCACGTAGGATCCCCCACATGTTTCAGGCCCTACAACCGGGAGACGAAGGACGACTTCGTGCCGAATGCAGAGCCCGTGCACTAGCAGCAGCCAGGGCAGCAGCCATGGCTTCCGCAGCAGCATCCTCTGCTGCGTCCTCGTCTGGGACCAATGGGAGCCATTTGGGAATGCCCACAGGGTCCACGGGTTCTTCCAGTTCAGTAGGTTCTCGACAGTCTACAAGTCAAATGGCGGGCTCGCAGCTCAGCCCGTTGACCCCACGCGAAAGGGAGCTTCGAGAGCTCCAACAGGTCGAAAGGATCCGTGAACGATTAGAGAGGGAACTGAAGTAAGCAACCGATAGAGAAAGAGAAATCAAAAATAGAATAGTCAGGCTTGATACGTTAGAGGCAGACAAAGCTAAGTTAGAGGGTTTGGATGAGTCAGGACTGTCTGACCCAATGAAAATATTGAAGAACAATATGCTGTTGCTGCATGCGCACGTGGACAACCGATTGGACTTTATGCAGAACTCCCTAGACCAAATCTTGGACCTTTTACAAAGGCCAGGATTTAGGCCACCAGCACAGTCGCCGTTGCCGTTAATGGCGATGTCAGGCCCCTTTCCCGTACAAGCTGGCACACAACCAAGTGGCACGTCGACAGCAGTCTCACAAACTGTTGCTTCTTCTTCTTCGGGTCCAGCGGTGGTTGCTACACCACCACAACAACCTGTTCCTCAACAAGGACAGCCGCAAGGTCTATGGTACCCTAAGACCCCTATGAAACCGCCTCTTGCCTTCTCAGGCGAGAAGAAGGATGAGGAACTCAACACTTGGTTGAAAACGGTTCCGGTATGGGTAAAGGCGAAGAGGACGTTGCAGAAGGAGGAGGTGATTACTGCTGCTTCTTACCTCGAGGGTAAGGCAGCCAAATGGCTAGATGGTTTAGTTGCAAAGGCCGGGTACGGACAATGTATGGCAGACTGGACTAAGACAATTACGTTAGACCAGTTCATGGAAATGGTAGAAGCTCTATGGCACAATCCACAGCAGGTGCAAATGGCCACTGATGCGATGCATAGACTAGACCAACGAAAGTTCAAGTCAGTCAGAGAGCTTACGACTACCGTTGAGAGCCTAATCGTCGTTCCCGGCATCAACTACGATAACCAGTTCCTGTTGACCACATTTGTGAGATATCTTCCAAAGAACCTCAGGAATTTGCTGGCAAGCGAGGCTCGCCTCGAGTATCACTCATTTGAGACATTATCTAGAAAAGCCTTAGACTTAGAGGTCACTCTAGGAAATGCTCAGAATGACGCGAGGAAGAAGAAGAGTCCACAGGAATGGAAGAAGAAGGGGGCTAAGTTGATGGTTGAGTCCGATGGGACTCAAACTGAGATCGAAGAGCTCTCAGACCTGGTGGACGTTTCAGAGTACGACAGCGAGGAGACCGCTGAGGGTAGCACCCTCGCCGCAGTAGTTAAGGCTAAGGCTGGTGGCCGAGTGAAGGGCCATCAAAAGAGTCAAGGGAAGGCCGCCTCCAATCAGACCAAAGTTGCTGATTGGGTCAAGSCMGGTCTTGATCAAGAAGTGTGGCGGKACCGCCGAGTGYGTGGTGCTTGTATTAACTGTGGTGAATACGGACACACCCAGTACAAGTGCCAAAACGCAAAGGTCACGCAGAAGATACCTCCTAAGATGGGGGCATCTCCTTCCCAGGGTTCTAGCTCGGGAAACACGTGAGGCCGATGGAAGTTTTAGTTGCTTCTGCTCATGGTGAAGTGGGCCCGATACCCTCCCTACTTCATGAAATGGCCATAGCTAATGACTCTTTAGTCACCCCGCAGACTCATCCAGACCAAACTATGCTCTGTACGTTGGATGTGTCTGAAGCCTTAAAAGATCTGGAAAGTGAGTGGTCAAACAAGGACCCTCGTGAATCTTGGGTGGCACTAAGGAAGGGTCCTAGAGGGGAACATTTCGTGGTGGAAGTTGATGTAGGAGGCCGCAAATGTGGTGCCTTCATAGACATTGGCTCCACGCGGAATTACATAAGTCGCGATTGTTTGGAAAGGCTGCACCTACACGACCGGGTACAGCACCGTAGTAGACCCGTAGCATCTACTTTGGCCAATAAGGAGCGCATGATTGTCACAGACTATATCAAGGACGTAGTCTGTACCTTCTCCTATGGAGGAGGGGAACTTAATCATAAGATTTTGTTCCTTGTTAGCGACGACTTAACATTCGACATGTTGTTAGGCATGTACTACCTTGAGGTTGCCAAGCCCCTGTTTGACTGGGACAAGAAGGTGCTAAAACATAAGTTGCCCGATGGCAGAACAGTCAGATTGGCTAAGTTCAAAGCCAGTAATATAATAGATACCTATGGCTGCTTGTGTGCATCAACATTCTATAACTATTACAAACAGAACCAAGAGGAGGGTATGTACCTAGCGTATGTCTCTGAGAAAGGGGCGGCCGTTAAAACTCCCCCAGAGATAGAACACGTCGTTGCTAAGTTCCCTGATCTGTTCGAGAAGCCTATAGGAGTCGTTGAAAGGAGGTTGTCCACACCATAGAAATCATTCCAGGGAGTAAAACCCCAAAGGGAAGGATCTATAGGATGGCTCCGGCCGAGTTGGATGAACTTCGGCGACAACTTAAAGAGCTGAAAGAGAAGGGATGGATCCGGCCGAGTACTTCCCCTTACTGATCGCCAGTACTATTTGTACCCAAAAAAGGGGGGTACATTGAGGATGTGCATTGACTATAGAGGCCTCAATGCCATCACAGTGAAGAACGCAGAGCCTCTACCTCGCATAGACAACCTATTGGATAGGGTGCAGGGATGCAAGTACTATAGCAAGATAGATTTAAAATCCGGCTACCATCAGATCGCAATAAAACCCGAGGATCAACACAAGACTGCTTTTCAGACCTGATACGATCTGTATGAGTTTGCAGTGATGCCCTTTGGTCTTTGTAACGCGCCGGGTACATTCTAGCACGCCATGAATAGGATCTTCCATGACCATTTAGATAAGTTTGTCGTTGTCTATCTCGACAATATTCTGATCTTTAGTAAGTCTGTCGAAGAGCATGCACAGCACGTTGAGACTGTACTCTCACTCTTGCGACAGCACAAGTATAAGGTCAACCTAGAGAAGTGTGACTTCGGACATACTAAGATCTTATACTTGGGTCATGAAGTATCCGCGGAAGGGATTAGGCCGGAAGATGCGAAGGTGGCTAGTAGAAGGGACTGGCCACGACCTCAGACTGTTACTGAGGTCAGATCTTTCTTAGGAATGTACGGCTACTATAGGAACTTCGTAAAGAACTATTCTACAGTCGCCTCTCCTTTGACAGATCTAACTCGACTTGACACGTCGTGGGACTGGAGTGATGAGTGCGAGGCTGCTTTCAAATGATTGAAGCATGCACTCATGAATCATGAGGTCCTCATGGTTCCCGATCCTCAAAAGCCAATTATAGTAACCACTGACGCAAGCCAATACGGCATTGGCGCAGTGCTGGCTCAGCAGGATGGGAAGAAGTTGAGACCGATTGAGTACATGAGCAAGAAAATGCCATCGAAGAAATTGGCAAAGTCCACCTACGAAAGGGAACTCTATGCTCTCTACAAGGCACTTGTCCATTGGGGACATTTTCTGTTGGGATGGTTCTTCTACTTGAGAACTGACCATCAAACGCTCAAATGGATCAAGACTCAACCGTCTCTTTCTGATGCACTCAAGCGCTGGGTTGAGGTCATAGATCAATATGACTTCAAGCTTGAGTATCTGAAGGGAGAGTACAACAAGGTTGCGGATGCGCTATCTCGTAGAGCAGACTACCTAGGGGCGCTAGTTTCTGAGTTTGGTGTATCTCAGGAAGTAACTCAATCGCTGGTGGGAGCCTATCAGGAAGACCCTGTCACGATGGACATCATCCGCAAACTTCAGGCAAAAGACAAGGCCACAGAGAATGAGTTTGTAATGGTGGATGGGTTACTCTTTCTTGATAAGGCCGGGTGTAAAAGATTAGTAGTTCCATCGAGTGAGAGTTTGCGTAGTTTATTTCTAGGAGAATGTCATGACGCAACTGGACACTTTGGCTACAAAAAGACGAGTGCCAATCTAGTACAGCGATTTTGGTGGTCTGGAATGCTACGCAAAGAAGTATGTAGAGACCTGTCAGGTCTGTCAGCGGGACAAGCGGCGAACTCAAGCACCGTTTGGGTTGTTGAAGCCCTTACCTATCCCCACTGGTCCAGGACAGAGTGTCTCCATGGATTTCATGGACACCTTGGTGACCAGTAAGAGTGGCAAGCGGCACATCTTCGTCATCATCGATCGATTCACCAAGTACGCTAGATTAGTTGCCATGCCAGAGACCGCAAGGACTGACCACGTCATCAAGTTGTTTATGGACATTTGGGTGCTTGATTTTGGACTTCCAAAGTCAATCGTTAGTGACAGAGATGTCCGATTCACAAGTGAGCTGTGGAAGAAGACTGCTGAGCAGATGGGCAGTCAACTTCAGATGACTTCAGGGAACCACCCCGAAGCCAATGGACAGGCCGAGCAAATGAACCGAGTTGTACAGCATTTGCTGAGGCAGTACATCAAGCCCAACCAGGATGATTGGGATGAGAAGTTGCCTCTCATCGCCAGCCTGTACAACAATGTTGTACACAACAGTACCGGAGTCAGTCCTAATCAGCTGCACTTGGGATGGAAGCCTAGATCAGCTCTAAACTTCCTCCTACCTAAAAACCGATCCTCTGCAACTCCATGCACACTTGAATATGGTGTGCAGTATGAGAAGTTGCTGCAGCAAGCTGTCGAGCACATCAAGAAAGCTCAGCAAGCAATGATTGCTTCTGAGAACAAGCATCGACATTGGGAAGAGGAAGACCTCCAAAACCCAAGCGGAAGTATCGCGTCAGATTCAGGCATCATAGAGATCCAAAGAAAGATCGATGGTTTACCAGAGAGGAACTGATTGAGACAACTCCTCAAGTGGTGGCAGAATATGAAAGAATGTTGAAAGGGAAGGCACTTGCGAAGTAAGCATCTCAGCGGACTTTCGAAGCTAAGGGGGATGGAATGTGAGGATTGAGCCCTCAAGAAGGGGCCTTGCCATGATGTACATGTTCTGGGCTAAGGCCCCAACAAGCTTAGTGCCCACCCTAAGTGAAGGCGGGCCAGCAAATCAACAAGAGCCCTCTGTGCAAACATTTCACGAAGTGTGGTCCATACAGTTGCAGCATGCCAGTTGGTTGGTGTGCACCGAGTATCGGAGCTCTGCAAATGCAGAAATCCCAGGGCCCCGAGTTGGTTAGGCCCTGGGCACATAAACGTGAGGCCGACAATGCATCCTGGAGATAGAGGCCGAAAATGCCAAGGGGAAACAGGTCCACTATCTGAATCTGGCCGCAGGCCTTGATGAAAGAGGCGCAACTGCATCTCCTGGGCCCCCAACTGCATCGGGCTTAGGTACAGGTACTGGGGCCCAGGCACAGGCTCAAGGGAGGCCGCCCACACGCAACATTGGCATATAGGCAAGCAGGGCGAGTGGGCAGGGATCTTGGCCATTGTGGGCAATGCCGGCACGCTGCGCGTTTTCGAGCTGCTGAGCTGCGCTAGGCTGAGGGAAGCAGGCAGGCGCTAAGCGGTAGAGCGCTGCCTGGGCGCAGGGCGCTGGTGGCCATAGCCGGGCTGCCTGGGGGCGCAGAGGGAGGTGAGGGGCGATGGTGGTTCTTCAGAGGTGAAGGGCGCTGTGTGGGATAACAAGGGAGAGTGTGGGTGAAGAGAGAGACGTACCTGGTGGAGATGGGAGGTCGACATTGGTGTTGACATCATCACTCGCTGGTCGTCAAGTTGTCTGGTTGCTTTCATACTGTAGTTGTAGTGTTAGGCTGTAGAGTAGGTAAGGCGCCTGGCGCCATTCAAGAGAGAGAGCTACATTGGGTTATGCTGTTGGTGTTGCCCTGTTGGGCTTGGACATTGACTCACGATTCTTCTGTATCATTCTCAAATGGATGGTTACTCGGTTCCATTGTGCTATCTGCTCTTGCTTTGACTACTTGGACTTCAGTGTGATTTTGCAATCTGGATTTCTG